TCGCCCAGGCGCGGGCGCACGGGCCGATGCCGGACGCGCTGCCGGGGCCAGAACTGCTGCAGCTCGTGCTCGACGTGCAACATCCGTCGCAGCGCTCTGTTGGCCGCCACAGCGACGGTGCCCATGAGCCCATTGACGATGTGGTGCAGCAGCTGCAGCGGCTGCAGGAGAAGGAGGAGGCGGAGGAGGAGAAGAGTCGCCTTCCGGACGCGGAGGAGGTGTACGGGAAGGGGCTGCCCTACGTGCTGAACCCGGCGAACTGTCGTGTCATGTACATAGTCCACGAGGACCACGATGGTCATGACGACGACGACATCGAAGAAGAAATGGCGCGATTACGAAGAGCGGAGAGTAGCATGACGCCACTGCAGTGGATTTTATCCCCACTGTTTAAACGGAAGGGCGGTGTGAGTTTCGAAAACCCTGGTTGAATGGCGTGTGTCTGCACCCGACCTTTCTCTCAGAGTGGTGGTGGTGGTGGTGTTGTTGTTGTTGATGTTTTTTTTTTAGCGGTGCGATTGCCGGCGGTGTTCTTTCAGTTGCTGGTGGATGTTTTTGATTGGTTATGTTATTTTTTTTTTGTTTTGGTGGTGGTGGTGGTGGTGGTCATGTCTGCTGCACATGCAAATATATGTGTCTGTGTTGTATTGTTCTTGTTTTGTGTTATTTTCGTTCTTCGCTTTATTTCCACTTGCACGGGGGGCGTCCAAGGCTGTGTGCCGAGTTATTGTAGTCTGAAGCTGCGTCTCTGGCCACGCGCGNTTAGCGGTGCGATTGCCGGCGGTGTTCTTTCAGTTGCTGGTGGATGTTTTTGATTGGTTATGTTATTTTTTTTTTGTTTTGGTGGTGGTGGTGGTGGTGGTGGTGGTCATGTCTGCTGCACATGCAAATATATGTGTCTGTGTTGTATTGTTCTTGTTTTGTGTTATTTTCGTTCTTCGCTTTATTTCCACTTGCACGGGGGGCGTCCAAGGCTGTGTGCCGAGTTATTGTAGTCTGAAGCTGCGTCTCTGGCCACGCGCGGACTCGCTTTGTTACTCACTCGCGCTCCCTTCCCCTCAGCCCTTCCATACCACGTGGACTCTCATACAGCGTTGTAGGACTCTTTGGTCATAATACATATACATTTTATATATATATAGTCAACCTGCTCGGTATATGCATGCGTGCATGTGGCTCCTGGTTGTGTGATTATTCTTCGTTTGTGTCTGACCTGTTGGATTAGGTATTTAGTTGGTGGTTGCTTATTGCCGTCCCCACTCGAGTTGGGGTGGAGGGGTGGATATCGCATCATTGTTGTGGTTCTGTTCAACAACAAGAGCAGCAGAGCGAAGGAAAGAGGCAGCGGATTTTCCCGCGGGCAAACACCCACTGCGGGGCATAGCATCAGAAAGCAGTACTGAATACAGGGGGCATTGGGGGGTGGCCGGGGTAGTTGCACAAGCGTCATGGTCCAATTCACCGCATTCCTCCTCCTTGTCTCAGCTATTTCCATCGTGGTGTTGGTGCTTTTTGTCCATTTGAAGCGGAAGGCCGCCCTACCACGACCGCAACAACGTGTGTCGGCAATACACGAAAACGGGGCAGAGGGACTGCAGCCGAATGGCAGAAGCAACAATAACAATGACAGTATGATAGAGGACCACGCGGGCGAGGTGAGTGCGGCAGTTGTGCTACGCCACAGATCCACTGCATCACCACCGCCACGTCACCGCCGAATGCGCGTTCCTCGGGAGGTGATGCATGCCCACGACAGCGGCACCGACAGCGACAGCGACATTAACCCCGTAGCGCTGCGGCAGAAGCCAGTGGAGGCGGAGATGACGGAGGAGATGAGGATACTGCAGGAGTGTGCGGTGGTGGGCATTGTGCGGCGCGGCGACGACGTGAGGCCGCCGCCGC